ACACACACACACACACACACACACACACACACACACACACACACACACCCACACAGGTTCAGTTCCTGCTGCACCTGAAGGACACGGACACACCCACGCAGGCTCAGTTCCAGCGCCACCTGAAGGAATGTGGCCCCGACTGTGTCATGCTTCCTCTGAGACTCTAAAGTCAAGAGTATAGGCTTACAGCTTGCGTTCTTTCAGAAGAATCTACACCCATTCTTTCAAAACAAAAGAAGCCAGCTGACTTTAACCTGACACCTTCTCTTCTTCATGCACTCCTCACAGTTAACACAGGCTGTGAGGGGGGGGTTTCCTCATGCTCTCCTGTTAAAACTGATTGTGATCACTGAATTCCGGCATGCTGTTACTTGTATATTTCATGTACTCTGTCTTTATGTGACATTTCTGTTTTGAATGTGTGGCAGAGAATGATGCTCTGTGAACTTGAGTTTGTTAAATAAAAGTTATGAAGGTTCAAAGGAATGATTTAGGCTTTTACAACATTGCAGAAATCTATACTATTTTCTGAAAATGGGACATCCATATTTAAAACTTTCAACATCCTTTATCTAAAACACTGTGTTAAGAATAGTGGGATCATTCATGGTCCAGAGGGGGGCCGTTCTGTGTGGACTCTGGTTACTCCGGCTTCCTCCCACCCCCCGAAACATGGCTGTTAGGTTAAAATGACACTCTAAACTGCCCTGAGGACTGACTGTCCAGGGTGGACCCGCCTCTGGCCCGCTGTCAGCTGGGCCTGGCTCCGGCCCCCCCACTGGGAATAAGCAGTGTGGACACTGGATGCATGGGTGGAACACTGTTTACATCGAACATTAGCTGGTGGAAACGTTATGGGGATCCTGCTTCAGTATCAGGTGTGCCTCTTTGTTCTTCATAACTTAACACGACTGACCTTTGGACTTCATGTCCATTTGCATGAGCAGGAAAAGTCCTGAAAAAGGGCCCACACAAATTCCAGGAAAAACAAATGAAGAAAATCTGAATAGAACTAAAACATATGACGGAAAAGCAGAAAAACTCGACGAGGAAAGAATAGGGACAACCATTTCAGAGCGGTGGAGGGCTGCTTACCTGGAGCGTCTGGGAGAGTTTAACAAAGTCCTTCTGAACCTGCTCACTGACATCCAGCTCGGTTTGCAGCCGCTGGGCTTTGTCCCTTTCATCCAGGACCTGACTTTCTAGTGTACTCTGCAGACACACACAGATTTGCTGTTAGAATATCTATTCAGGTCAGATTTTTATTTCCATTTGTTGTTTTATTTACGGTCTTAAAAATGATGAATTATGGATACATTTTAAAGTGTCTGATGATTTCATCCGAGTGTATTCAACAGATATATTTAGCTGTTGATCAGTTGCCCGTAGCATTTTCTCCCAATATCTACTTCCCAAAGCATCACCTACACTTTCCTTTTCAGTCTCTCTGCACAATGCTCTGCTTCAGTTTGCAAATGGAGCAGTCGTTCAAAGCGTGTGGCACCTGACACCGGAGGTGACATCATCCGTACCTGTGGGGCCGGACTGCTCTGGGGACTGAGGCAGCCTGGGCCCAACAGTCAGTAAGGGATCTTTTTCATAGTCATAGTTCTCTCCAGAGCAAAAGCTGAGACATGTGACCCTACCTCCTGTCTGAGGCGCTGCTGTAAAACAGTAAATACAGCAAACAGGAGTGGACATGATGGATTCTGAAGCACAGTAGTGTCACATCAGCCCTTCAGTGGTTCATAGTGAATGCACAGAGCAGTCCAACGTATTTCCTGTTTAGATGCTGATCAGCATCTATGTATCTGATGCGATCTGCTGGGTGGATCAGATGCCGAGCAGCAGCGTAGCTGGACAACACAATAATGGAGGGGTGAGGCCATGGTGAGGCTACAGATGAATGTGTGTGCCAAACGGAGACCTTTGCCGTGGTCAGCTCGATCATCTGCTGCTCCAGCCTGACCCTCATGCCCTGAAGGCTCTGCAGTGTTTCAGTCTTCTCCAAAAGGCTGCTCTGCAACTACACAAATGAGATCAAATCCACATCAGTAATGACAGGCAGCTCATTTACTACACAACCCCAGGGTAAGACAGAGGGAAACCTTTCTGATTAAGTCCATGTTTGTACTGGTACTGTTAAGCCTGTCCCGGTTATTTTAGAAAACCTTCCCTTGTGCAGATGCACACAAAGCTAAGGCAGCATTTGCCCACAGATCACTTCTGTCCATCTGACAGATGCAGATTAAATATTCAACCAAATTAATTAGAAATCCCCTCCTAGTTACGAGAGCACAACATGTACTTCATGTCCAGTCCAAAATATGTTTGATCACCGTCTGTCACTGTGTTACTGACTAGTGAGACTTCCTGGGTGTATGGACCTCACATCTGGCATTTTTTCATAAAGTACTGGTTCTCAAAACCACCAGTGTTTATCCTGTGATAACATTCTAATTGAACAGTGGACTGGATGATGGAACATTAAAGGCTGTGACTGATAACTGGGTGAAAAACAAAGTCAGTGAGGGGAAAGCAGACCTGACTGCACAGATTTGTGTACTGTGTTCCATTAACTCTGGCTAGTCTCATGGTTCTTAGTAACACTTTAAAACATGTAAAATCCTTCAGCACTCTTTGTAAAACATGTCCTGGACTAGGGAGTGGCTTTTTGTTTTGCTTCTTTTGACCTTTTCAGCGCTTTTTTAGAACAGAATTCCTCATTTTAATATAATTTTGTCTTAATATGAGTTCACAGACTTGGGCAGATTTGAGTCTGCAAAGGTTTAGTGATGAGGTCTTGGCGTGGTGACAGTAAAAACTAAACAGAGGAAAGAGCGGGATTTATCACATCATTCTATCAGCAGCACCCTGAGGTCAGGGTTTAGTTTAGTCCCAAAAAACGAAATACACTAAAGGAGGTCTGATTTCACACGCGTGAATTAAATTGACAAGTGCAGTTTGTTAATTTGTGATAAACAGGATAAAGAGCACGACCTTCAGAGTTCCCATGAAGACTCCAGAATCAGAGGGCTAAATGAGCACTTCAAAGGAAGCTCAGAATCTGGTTACATTAACTGCTTCAGGCACATGTAAAGGTAGAGACGGTGATTTTTTCCTTCTACCTCCCGGAATGCAATACGGCACCTACCTGCTCCTTCTCTGCTTTTATTCTCTCCAGCTCTGTCTTCAGACTGGAGAAAGAGGCTGTGGGAAGCACACATCATTAGAAGATCACACAGTGCTCATCTGAATCTCAAAGCCTGGATTTTCTCTCTGGAATTATTAGCTGGTTCCTTGTTAGTGATGAATAATGCAACAAAGCTGCTTTGCTGTGAGGGACCATGTGTTTGGATTTTGGCAAACACAAGCAGAGATCCAAATAACAGGCTACAAAAAATGCCAGAGTCAAACTTTTAAACACAACACGCACAAAAATAAAATTCCACTTCTAAACTGATCCCTTTATATGAAAACAAGAACTGGAATTAGCTTATCTTATTCATTTAATTTTTGACCATTTATAAAAGGTTTATCTTTAAAAATGTTGGGAATAAACAGGGTTACTTTTCTGCAAATATTTTCTTAAAACTCATCAACATCAATGCAAACAGTACACATTTCAGAACTGTAAATAACTGTGTATAAGGATAACCGCTCAATGCCACAGAGGCAATATTCTTCACTCCCTAAAATGAATACTTTAAAAGACATGAAAATGACTTCCAGCTGAAATGAATAGTTTTAACCCTTGAGCGTTATTTGGGGCTATTAGAAGACACTTTTCTGTGCTTTTCTAGCAGGTTTCAGGTTTAGGCTGCAAATCAAAGTTCTGAATCACAGTTTGGTGCCTGTTTATTTAAATAGCTGACTATGACAGTAGTCAATATTTTTCCATTTGAAAATGGAAAAATATCAAGCTATCTGAACTTTCTGACACCAAAGTGTTTCTGTTTTTGACAGTAAATATTTTTTCATAACAAGTAGTCAGGAACTCTAAAGCTAACAGAAACACTGATGAGGCCCTGGTTTGGACAGGTCCTCATACAGAGCACTCAACACCACATTACCTTTTACTGACTAAAAAGACTTGCCTAATACTACTTTCTTTTGTTCTGAAAGCGCTCAGACTATGTTTCTACGAAGCTTTACAACAGTAAACCAACAGTTTTAAGTAGATTTTACAAGATTACTGCAGAGAAATGGCTTCTAGGTTAAGAAAAAGATCACTATCATCCATGCATATCTCTCCCCTCGGTGAAGGAGCAACACACAGCAGAGTGAGTGTTCTAACAAGAGGTTAAAAACGTGACAAAAAAAGCTCTAAGTCATTTGCTTAATATGGCCATTAGTCTGACAGCTATGAATTAAACACATACATACAGCCAGTTAAAAACAGCTCTTTCAGATTGTTTTTCATACCTTCTAAGATGTCTGTAAGAATGATCAAAGGAAGACAACAGGAGCAGAAAAAGGAGGATACTTTTTAATGTCAAAAACTAAAAGCATGCCGAGATATGCCTCCAAATGTAGTCTTTTTCAGAATTTGATCAAATATTATTTCTGAGATATGGACCCCAATAATGATGGTGGATCAATCTTAGTCGACTTCTCACCTATTTCCTCCTTACAGCCCTCAATCTCCAGCTGCAGAGTGTCCTCCAGGTTCTCCTTCAGACACTGCTCCGCCTGGATCTGCTCCTTCAGAAACAGGATCTCAGCCTTCAGCCTCTCCTCCATGTGATCGGCAGACGTGCGCAGCGCCACCAGGTCCTCACGCACCTGCAACACCAGGCCCTGGAGCTCCTGGGGAAGAGCCATTCAGCATTACAGGAATCAATGTGGAAACCTGTCACCCCGTAGCACAACTGGGGGGATGAGGATCAACGTACACAATAACAAGTGCTGCAGGTATTAGTGTCTATATGTCAGAAGCTCACTACTGACATATATGTTCTATCAAGTTACACATCAAAAAACCTGACTCACATCCTAATTAACATATGATGCGTGTCATGCGTTTAGGTAAAAGCTATGAAACCGGGCTCACTCTTTGGAAGCATCACTCAGACTGAGGCTAAGAACAGCGGTGCAGGAATTCAGTGGCAGGAAAGCACATTTATCAAAAGGACTTCAAAATAAAAAAGATTGAACATACGCCGTCATCCTGAGAGACACTGAGAGACACCTCTCTGTGGCATTCAGGGGGAAACGGCTGCTCATGCTAGGACAATTTAGAAGTTGAAAAGCAAAAGCAAATGGTTGTACACCTAATAAGAAGAGATCACAGCTGTGAGAGGGTTCACAGGCTCAGGAGAGCTGTGTTGACTTTTTCCAGCTGGTTCCTCTTTCGTTGGTCAACCAGGTAGAGGCAGAATAATTAGGCTGTTGCAATACCATGATTTGAAAAAGATCATTGGAATTTATTGCGTTTGACACAAACATACAAAGGTGAAGCTACACTTTGTTTGGATCTGATCTAAATCTGCTTCAGCTCTCTGGAACTGGGTGGCAGGGTGTGGCTGCACATACCTGCACAGTGCCGGGCATCTGAAAGTCCTCCTGTTGCTGCAGCTCCAGGTGCAGCCTGTGTTTCCCCTGCAGGCTGTCGTTGTCTCTCTGGAGTCGGCTCAGCTCATCTGCCACCTGCTCCCGTGACTTCACCAGCACCACCTGAAACAAACACAACAAATCACTCTCTTCCAGGGCGTCAGTTAACAACGTTCATCTGGGACCAGCAGCACTTCATCACGTGGTGAAGAGTGACTCAGCAGTATGGGCTGCCATATTCCCTGAATGCTAAAGGAAGATGAGAGAGGCCATTCTCAGCAGAAACTGTGACAGATTCAACATTTAGGGAAAACTGGGTTTCCAGTCACAGTAAACCCAAACAGCAGTGGACACTACCCATGACTACACCTCAGCCTGGCAGCAACATCCTGTTATCAAGAGGGCAAAGGGACACGTAAGACAGATAAGACATGGGCAGGTGGCAAAAGAGGCAACAGCATGCATATGAATGCAAACGCTGCTCACCATTTGCTCCTGTGTGTTCCTCTTAGCATCGCTGAAGGCCTGCTGGAGTGTGCTGAGCAGCGCCTCTGACTCCTGAACCCTCTGCATGAGGGCAGAAACCTACAGGACAGGAAACAAATCCATGAGACAGGAGAGAGCAGAGGCTGCACGCAGCGAGCTCACACCACTACACTACCATGACATGGTAGGTGTGATCCTGTCATCTGATCTGATGTCTGTGCAGCACAACTGGGAGGAAAAGATGAGGTAATCCAACCCAGATCAAACAGCATGTGGCAGACTGGACCATTAGCATCTGTAGTTTCTCTAAACAAATCTAAGTTATACACACATGCAGCAGCTTCACAGGCGTTGCCTGATAGATGGAGGATCCATCCATGTGGACCGGCTGCAGAGGGTGAGAAACCAACAGCTCTGCCAACTGGTGGGGGGAGAAAAAATCCTCTTGGGAAGGTTCAGCCCTGTGCATGTTTTCTTACAAGAAGTAAGAGGCCTCGTTATGTTACAAGCAAACCCAAAGCTCTCTGTATGTCAGTGTTTTGATGAATTATCTGTCATCACTTTTTTTTTTTTTTTACCACAATCATTCATTCAGTCTTTTTAAGACTTATTGGCATCGGAACCAGAATCACTGTAAGCATCAGAAGTGATCTTTAAGTTTCCTTATCTTTCCTTTTTATTATTCTTTTAATGAAACTGCCGTAGTATGAATATAAAGTGGACTAAATCTGAGTCAAATTGAGTGGTTAGGAAATCATATCTACAGATGGTAAACCATCAACACACGCACAGCTGTTTCTGTTTATGCAGGTTGTTCTTCAATCCTTATGACTCCACAGTACAGCCTACTCGCTCTCTGGCTCAACAAAATAGTACTCCTGTCGCCATGGTAACCTGCTAGGGCTGCATAAGGAATGATGATCAAAGAAAATGTACATTTCAGACTGAAAAATGGAAGAAAAAGGCTTTTAAAGGGTGGCATGTTTTTTTTGGTGCTGGTTGAAGTTTGTGTATCTGGTATGCCTGATGTGTGACAGTCAGAGCTTAAAACGATGGGCTGACAAGGAGGACTCTGTGTGCCACTACAAGAGGTCCACAGCTCCCACTGTGTTTTGTCATTTGTGTCTTTAATTTGTTGTTGTCTTATTTTTGAGTATTCTTCTTCATCCATCTGGTCGATAGCCTAAGAACTATGACTGACTATGACCAAGTTTCAGCCTTTTCTCGTGTCCCTCCTGTTACTTTTACTACTCTTTGTAACAGAGGAAGTACTGTGAGAATCGTTTTTATTAAGGAGTACAGACTTGCAGACTGGACTGAACCTCTTGTGACTGAACATCACCAAGACCAGAGAGACAGTGATGTACTTCGGGAGGAAGAAGGAATCTGCTCAGGCTCTACTGATCGGGGGGGAGGAGGTGGAGGAGGACTACAGATACCTTGGAGCTGTGACTACAACTGCTCTCTGAAGAGCTGGCCTTCAAGAGGTTCTTGAAGATAAACAGGGATAGAGCTGTTCTGGTAGGCCTTGGTAGGTCATTCCTCCAACATGAAAAGAGTCTGGATTGTCTTAGGCGTGATGTAGGCACTGCTAGAAGACCATCTATTGATGACTGGAGTGAGCCAGTTGGGCCATAAGCCTTTGCCAGAGTAGTCAAATAGATGGGCTACCATCAGTGACTTGACTCTGATGTGGGTGGGTGGGGGCAGCCAGTGAAGCTCAGTGAACTGGGGGGTGAATTGGGACTTTTTGGGCTGATTGAAGACCAGACGCACCGCCGCGTTCTGGATCATCTGTAGAGGTTTTCCAGTACAGGCTGGGAGACCAGTGAGGAGCAGAAGGGAACCACAGACCGCACCAGGAGCTGGTGGTCCCTGACATGGTGAAGCAACGAAGGCACAAACCTTCAAAGTGGTTTCCTCGTTCCCCGCTTTCACGGACTCCTCCAGATTCTGTTTCTCTGTCATTGTCCTCTCCAGCTCATCATTGGCCTGGCGGAGCATGACCTGCAGCTTCTTCACCTGGAAGAGAATGTGAGAGGAAAACGATTCTTGATCAATCAGAATCATTCAAGTGTTTCTCTCCTGAAAACAAAAAGATTCCTATGGAAAGAAATCCTCTGGTGTAGCTATGAACCCACCTGATCCCGTGTGTCGGCCTCCTGTCCTTGGATGGCCTGCAGCTGTTTCTCGTAGTTGGAACACATGTCGCAGCGTCGGCCGAGCTTCCTGCCAGCATTTTTCACCTAACGGTCAGCAACAACACCACAAACAATTCTGTCTGGATTAGTTGCTAATGTAAGTTCTGAAACGTAATACAAAGGAATATTCTAGTTTATACTTTGTAGTTTATGTAGATGACTTGGAATGAATGAAGGATGTAGAAAGGTGTTTAGCAGAACTTGAACCAAAGCTTGGACTCACTTTTCAAAAAGAAAAAGGGGGGGAAAACTCTTTATGATGTCTGGACATGTTTTCTGATGTCCAGACATCATAAATAGTTTTTTATGATGGACCACCACCGGTCAAAACTGTTAGTGGTTGTAACCTGAAGAACATTGCATGAAAAATTAAACAGAACAGCTTCTTCTTTTAGCTTTAAAAGACAAAGAGGCCTCAGATGGCTATCGCTGATTCTGTTTGGTCAAATCCACTAAATGAATAAAGAAAACACGATTCAGCTGAGGGCATAGATGGAGCTGGCGGGAGCACCTCTTGCTGCAGGAGGTTCCACTCAGAGTCGCTGACCAGCCGGTAGCCTGGCGGGGGTAGGAAGGCTGTGTCCGGGGCGTGGGAGATGCTGGAGAGCAGGGAGGCCGTCTCCTCCTGCTCCGGCGTCATGGCTTTGATTGCCTTTTCCTGGTCTTTAGTCAACAAGAAGTGACCCGCTGTCAGCTTGATGGAGCTGATGGACGAAGTCTCTCCAAAACTATTGTCTGTGTTCCCACAGTCGGCTCCCACTAAGGGCCCAAAGTCCGACTCATCCAAGTTGCTGGCTGACTTGGCCTTATGGTTGTGACCCCCCAGCCCCTGCTGGGCAGACAGAGTGGAGCCCAGGCTGTCTGTGGACTGGACGCGGCGCAGGTTGTCCTTGTAGGGATCCATGGGCCCTCCTGCTGCCACATCAGTGTCCAGGGAGTGCATGGAGCCATGGGTGCTGTGGTTGGCATTGTTCTGAAAGAGCAGCACAAGTTTGTTGTTACAAACTTAAACCATAAAGACGTTTTAAGTGCAATGAACGGGAGTCATAGAATTCTGAACAGTCATCAAAAGCAAACCATCAATAGGATAGGAGTTTCTGTACTGTAAATGCTCCTGACTCCGTAACACGTTCCACAACAAAAGGACACATCAGAGCCTGTGTGGGTCTCTGCCTCGCCCAAACACGCTTCAACATGGGGGGAGTCCCCAACGTCGTTTAAGGAGATCATCACTGAACAGAATTTGAACTGTTCTAAGCTTTATTCTGTATACTGTCAGTCCAATTGACAGTAACTTTGAAACACTTCTCTGAATTATGAACAGCTTCCTAAGAATGCAGCTGCCTGCTCATTACCTGGTCTTGGTCTCTAATGGAATTCAGAGTTAAAGCCAACGTCCTGTTGACCGAAGGGCCATTCAACCTTTATGATCCTCAGAGTAAAGCAGCAAAACTTTAGAGGGAAATACTGCGTCACAATCAAAGGTTTTCTCTTCTGGTCCTCTACTGTTACACTCGGGCTAGAATAAACAGGAGTGTCCAGCTAATAGAAACACAAGATCCAAAAAGAAAATGAATGAGTCTGATGAGTCTGTGCCCCGTAGGTGGAAATCAAAGACCGCTCGCTGTTGCGCTACCCCTGAAGCCCTGGCCTAACAATGGGAATCTCAGCTACCACAGATGAAAATGTCCTTTGTGAGAGATCCTTGCTGATGCTGCCCCAGGGCACACAGCAACAGAGGTTCAGCTGAATGCAGGGCCTGTAGAACCTGAACCACAGTCCAGAATGACTGAAACCACTTTAAAAATACATCCAAGATTGATTTTTTTCATTACAAATATTTCATTATATCTGAATATGTTCCTTTTTTTGACAAAATTACTGTATGGTACACCCCTACAATCACCTCTCAATTAGGCTTTGTTTTTAAACTGAAGCAAATCTGTGTGAATCCAAGCACCTGAATCATGAAGAAAAAGACAAAGAAACATGAAAGAGGCTCGCATTGCATCCAGGAAATACAGCATAACAACAGGCTGATCTCCCCTCTAATGGGTGTTTCAGATTACATGAAGCTCATACTTCCTCTACACTCAGTCCAAGCAGTAAGTCCTCCAGTGGCTCAGTGCTGTCTCCTCCGTCCCCGTCCTGCAGGTCCTTCACTTGGCTCAGCCTCTCTTTCTCATCTTCCTCCTGAGTAAGTCAAAGGTTTTCAGGGTCAGTCAAATAGATTTGTTTCTCTCAGTGGACCTTTCTTATCAGATAAACTTGTAAAATCACATTTCTAGTGTTGGGAAGACATCCAAGAACTGTAAAACAGCTGCTAGAGTTCATAGAAGAAAAGCCATTTGGAGGATGCTTCTTGTGAAATGTTGCATGTGAATAGCGTTTGTTGTTTTTAGCACATGTTGTTTGCAACATTTGCAACAAATAAAAGTCCAGATCACCATCATTAGGTAAAGGGTTAACAAAAGGTAGCATATCAGTATGTAAAGGGGAGAGCAAACAATAAAGCTAACCTTGGTAAAATAGACTTTAATAGTGTTAACCAGACAGTAATATAACAACCGACCATGTGCTGAGGCTCTGTAGTTTGTAGTTTATGGAAGGCCACATTGGAGATGATAAGCAATTCATTTAGCAAAGAGCAAAGCTAAAGGTGTGCTAGGACACTTGCTCAGAGGAATCTCCCTGCTTAGTGGATTAGACCAACTTGGAAAGCCTTTTCCTTCTGGCTTTGTGTAGATCGTATATCATGGCAGAAAATTTACTCTCTAAAATACAGTTATTGTCACAACTTATGATATCATAAAACAAAATTGTGTAAGTATTTACCAAGTTTATATCCTACTCAGAAGGAATCAAGTCTGAAGATGCCCTGTGGCATCAAGGCCTTAGCAAGTCCCAGAGTTCCTTACACTCTGATTAGACATCTCCCAACATCCTGCAGCTGGTGGCTGGTTTTCCCCCTTCAGGTTATTGTCAGCAGGCATTCAGCACAACAGGACTTCATGACCCCCTTAAACTGTCCCACAGGAGTCAACAAATCCTCACACACATCCACACTGCACAACGATGAGGAATCTCATCATTTCTGGCTTTCTTTGGTCCTTCCAATCAGAGGTCGTGAGCAAGGCAACAAGATTAAGATCGTTGCCCTCTGAAGCAGAAAGACACTGCCTTTACCAGCACCGGCCTCATGTGGCCGGACAACAGAAACACAGCCTGGTCGAAGTGGAGCCCTTATGGTTTCTCCACGTTAAAGTACCTGGTCTTTCTTCTTCACCTCCTCCACTTGTCGGAGCTGCTCTGAGGACAGCACGCTCTCTATTCTCTGCATGTCCCTCATGAGGAGGCGCTGGGACTCCAGGAACTGGTCGTTGGCTCGCTGCCACGTGTGCTTCAGCTGGTTGTGCTGCTGCCGCTCCAGCTCCAGCTTGTGACAGACTGAGACCACAAACAGCAGACACAGCAGCGTTAGGCGCTCAGAGCCACACTGCAACAGCCCCCCCGCACCGGAGAAGGAACAACCACCAGATAAGAGCTTTGAACTGATAGACAGGAATCATATAACGTGTAAGCATTGAAAACTCTTCTGTGTCCCACCTGTTCTACCTTATTTTCTGCAAATCATAAACCTTCTGGAAAAAAGAGAAATAGAAAGTACCTTCGTGAAGCTCTTTCCTCAGCTTCTCTGCATCCTCCTGCAGGACAGATTTCTGAGTGTTCAGCACAGCCACGTACATCTCCAGGTCCGTGCGGCACGACTTCTCAGCCTCCAGAACGTGATTGAGCTCTTTAACCTGTGACAGAAATAGGTTCACTTTACACTGTAAGCCGAAAGAAAACCCAACGAAAACTTACACTGGAAATGTTGTACTAAAATATCATAGCTAACTAGAGGTGAAAGGTATGCTCTAAACTTTAAAATGGTTGGATTGCCATTAGTCTACATGTAGCCAATCATTCATCAAGCCTTCATGAAGAAATGAAAATAAAAGATGAACTAATGAGCACTGGATAATCATCTAGAATTGTTATGCTTAAAAATACTCACGATTAAAAATAAAAGTCCCTCAAATCGTGATCACACAAGTTCTAAGCTTTTTTAATTCATAAACATCAGATTTGTGATCCTTACGAAACAGGAGGGAGCAGCTCTGCGTGCTCCTGTGAGTGGGGATGAATTTCTCACCATAATGCGGTCATAGGCGTCCCATGTGAGGGCCTCTAGTAGCAACTCTGGGCAAACTACAGGCTTTTTCCCTTCATCTACTTTTAAAACTTTCATTTGTATTGTTTCGGTTATTGGAGGTTGGGAAACAACTGATGATTAACACCACCCAGTGGTAAGGAGGGGGGGGGCGAAAAAAAAAACTCCTTTCAAACCAAAAAGTCAAAAAAAGAAAATACTAGAACACATTCCTGGTTGTTTTCCTGCAGTCTCTTCCAAATCCACGTAAAGACCACTACAACCCAAATGTACTCTGGATGAGCTCAACCCAAATAACTACATATATATAAGTTTTCTTTAAAATAACATTATCTATATTCATTATTTAAAAAGGTACATTTAACTGGCATGGTAATGTCGGGTTGTTTGACAGGTTGCTGCTTCTTGCTTCACTCCCAGTCTAAAACAGGGACTGCATTTGGATGTAGCCATCAGCTGGTTTGACATTCTCACAAATTTGAATTTTGCCATCACCATCTTAATGCCAAACCAAAAAAGAGCTTTAGGCTGATGTCTTTTATGGCACAGATGGTTTTAGCTATGATACGCTGGGCCATGAATGATGGTAAATTAAGCTCACACAATACAAACCTGTGGACCAAATAACTTTATTTAATGACATCTCTTTACCTTCATCTTTTTTATAGATTCTGTAGACTGAGCCCCTTTAACATGACCTTTACAACTGCAACAGCAACAATTCTGTAAAATAAAACTTTCTTTAGAAAAAAATGCTTGAACCACTAGCTCAAAGCCACAAAGCGACCACAGTTAGAGAAGTGGAGGGTGGGCCGATAACACTCCCAGGACTAAGTGATGCTGGGCATCCAACCACAACCCCTGATATCAACTGCCAGAAATTAGAAAGCGAACAACTAAACCCAAACTAAACCCAAACTAAACCGATCGTGTGCTGGTGACACCACAACATCTCTCATGATATCACTTGTTATTTGGTTTTGTTTGTGCTGAAGTAAATGGAAATGTATTCTGATCGTTTGAATGTATCGGTTTGCATTATGAGTGAATGCCACACATGCTTCATATCCTTTATATTAAAGAGCATATTGAGAACCAGTTGACCAACTGAAGGAGTGATTTCATGCCGACTGACCTTGGAGGCCTCCAGCTCTTTCACCCTGTCCTCGGCTGAGGTCAGCTTGGCCTTCAGGGCTGCTATCTCCTGCTCCATGGGCATCACCACTGAGCGCAGCTTCTCTGCATCCTCCTGAGCCTGTAAGGGGTTTCACACCGCCTCATTACCATCAGCAACGTACACAGACGGACAGAGACGCAAACACAAATGAACTGTGACTGAGGATTGTTTGTTTTCCATTGTGATCTAAAAGTATTTCAATTCAAATGAGCATACAGGTAGGATTGGTAGAAGGGCGGGGGGACATTGGGCCAGTTACTAAATCCCACACTCCTGCTTTTGTAAAGATTGAGGGCATTAAGTGTCTAGTGCAATGGCTGATCGGTGGTTATCTGTATTGCTTTAACTCACTGGTTTCTTGTACTGTTTATTGCTGCTTCACAGTCTATCAATCTAATACAACTTAATGTTTAAAATATTTTTTTAAAAGGCAAATGAGGCTGATGGAAGAAACAAAAAACAAACAAAAAAACCTTTGTTTAGTGTTCAAATTAAGTGCACCACAATTAAACATTTTAGTAATTTTATTTTTTTTAAATAAAGCATTTTGTTATTTTTAAATAAACACTTTAATTTACATTAGGTTACCTCGAATAAAAAACTGTGCTTTCAGTGAGAGGCCCCACCCTTTTTTTTGTGTCTTAAAACTACCAGGAGCCAGAAACACCGAGTTATTCCCAATGCTCTAACCCTGTTCCTCCACCTGTCCAGGGTCTTTCCACCTCTGGCCTTTCACAGCAACCTTTCAGCAGGATCTGGGGGACAGGGTGGGTATGTCACAGCCATCCAGCCAACTTTGAGCAAAGCGCTGATGTAAAATATGCAATGCATGAGGTTTCCACTGGCAGAAGTTCTGTTTGGAGGGGATTCAACTCTATGGCCGGGCCAACTGCACACACACATGCTCTTTAAGGCACTCTCCATGAAATCAGATGTTTGTTGTCGCCATGCTTTTTTAAAGAGTTGAGCTTCACATGAAGGAGTCACTTTTGAGTCATTTGAGGCCCTGGCCAATCAGAGACCAGCAGTCTGGTGTCTTAGGAGTGATGGAGTATGACTAAGTTCCCTCTTTCAGTTTTTCTCAGGAATGCGGGGTTGAGCTTCGTTCCTATTAAAATAAGATACAGTTTGATTCATTTTGTTGGAGCTATTTACAGATTTGCCTAACCCCCACAGAAACCAGCCCTTGCGAACTGAATAGCAAATAAAACAAACACTCCCATAAAATGAACACAAATCTAAATATTTTCAATAGTTACATAAATTTGCAAATAGACATAAATCTCTCTTTCATCTAGGAAGTGTAATTCAAGCTACTCCTCGGTGAGTTTTAGAAACCAACATCCACAAACACAGCTAAATGCCACCTTGTGTTGTCTAGAAGTGATGATAGACTGAAGGGGGCATTAAGCTCCCATCATAATGGGTGTTTTTAGGTTGTGTTTTTTTTGGTATCTCATTCAACTAGCATGTTTAAAACCTGGCAGTTGGCTTTACCAGCAAGAGCAACTATCTGATTCGAAAGATTCCTCTTGGGTATAAGTCAGTCTTGTGCAGCCTCTAAGCTGGAAACTCAGCTGTTGGAAAGTGTCTGCAAAACTTTATTATTTATTATCATCACAGAGAGGGTTCCACTGGTCCGGGCATCAGGTCCACCCAGCTGCTCTCCCATGGCCAGCTACTTGTAGGACATTAAATGTGGGAGGGAACATACACATAACTAAAACCACTTTTCAGCGCAAAACACAGTTCCTTCAGCACGGGCTAAAACACACCGTATACAAGTGGCAGAGATGGAAAAAACAAGCCTACTTTCTTCATCTCGTCCTCCAGGTTCTCCTCCTCCGTCCCCTCAGAGAGCCGGCGCCTCAGGTCTCCCAGCTCCCTCTCCATAGCATCACGGTACTGGTTCCACTGGGCGCGCTCCTGCTCCAGGCGCTGGTGGAACTGGACCTCATACTCACACACAGTGTCTGTGGGGGGGCACACAACAACATAAAACGCTTATTCACCTTTAAGTGGCACCTTCCCAGCAGAAGTCCCTCTGTGAATCCGCTTTGGTTTGACACTAAATCTACGGTACTTTCTTGAGGAGCCTGAACGGGACGCAGGTCCAGAAAGGACCCACCTTTTGACCAACAAAAGCCTTTTAAAGCCATGACTTTTAAAGTCATCCATACACTGCCATGCCCCGCTGGTTTAAAGAATGCACAAAGGCTGCTGGGCAAAAATGTGTTGAACTGAGATGAGCAAATTAAGATAAAACAAGGCTCGAGCCAAAGGCTTTAAAATTCAACTTGAGCTCAAACCAGCTTCTTCCGTCTCGGTTTACCTTTCATGATGGCCTGCAGTGAGGCCACCTCCTCCTGCCATTGGCTGCGGACTTGGTCGATGGCCTCCTGTTTGGTGTTTTCTGACACGGTAGCCACTGCCTTGATGGTCTCGATCTCAGCCCGGGCCTGAGACAGCTGCGTGTGCACAGAGCCCAGCTCGGTCTGAGCAGACTCCAGGGCAGCCGTCTGCCTCTTCAGCTCCTCTGGGGGGGCAGAGAGGGGCCACACGGGACATGAGGGGGACACAAACATGGTGGAAAACACAGAGCAGCCAGTAGGAGTTCAGAATAGATTCCAATAAACCTGACTAGCTCACATGCACTTTATGGGTTTCACACACACTTTGTTTCTCAGTAAAACCACACACAGTCATGCATTTTCTTCATCTGTATGTCTGCAGCGTGACAGCACTGCTGCCCCCACTGTACTCTCTGGTTAATGATTGAAGCAACACAACAGGCTGCATCATAAACCCGTGTCATGCTTGTGAGATGCGGACCTTCCTTGGACAGGTAGAGCTCTTTGAACTTGGCTCGCTTCTGGTTGAACTCCACCTCTAGCTGCTGCTTGAGTTTCAGGAACTCGGCCCTCTCCTGCTCCAGAGCAGCCACTCGCTGGTGAAGCACCTCTGAAATACATAAAGACATCCACAACTTTAAATAAAAGTACACTCAAATAAAATAAAAAAATCATCAACCAGAACAACTGTTTGTCTGTTTGCTAGGAGTTCAAAGGCTAAATCCGTTCAGTTACAAAATGTTTTTTCCAGAAATAATCTGATGAGGATAAACTAAACTCTTAGTGAGTCACATTAGACAGTCTCATTCAGTTATCAAATTAAAAGTATCTAAGAAACAAAGAAAGATGTCTACAGAGGTCAAAGGTTAAGTGGTAGGAATACTCCATTAGTGATATAATGGATGATTATGATCAGTAAGGTCCTTTGTCAGCCCCCCGTTTGTCCTGAACATCTTTTGATAGTGACACCTCTTCCAGCCTCACAATGGTCTCCAACTAAGGAATGACCAATCCACTTATTGATCCACCGCACAACGAGGCCTGGCCAGGGTTCCTGTGATGTGACACAGAGACACCGGTCACCAGTGGGCCTCTGTAGAGCCTCCCCGGCCCTACCAGACCTCACACAGCCCTGAGTGATGGGCGCTGGTTCATGTGTCGGCCGTTTACAACCCACAGGAACCTCCACATAAACAATCCAGACATTTGCCTTTATCGTGTCTTTCTAATAGGCAGAATCTATGTGAATGAATGGCCCTCAAGTCATGTGACGCCCTGCTCAGTCTGCTGCCCCCGACTCAGCCTGCCTGGAGCCGTGGACGAGCAGGAGCTCAAACAGCCCCCTATGGAAGCACAAAAACCCTTTTAAAAAGGACCACGACAACAGAGTGGAGCCCAGCGGAGCTGAGGAGGTGCTGGAGGAGAAGCCCAGTGTTCTGGACATAGATTAGACTATCACTGTGATACTTTCCATAATATTTGAATCCTCCAAATTCCTTTTAAGAGAATATAAGAGGGAAATAAAATAAGAGAAAGATGGTCACTCTTAAAGTGCAGTAAAATGAAATTACAAAAAGGAAATAACAAGAGCAGGTCATCAGAGGGAGCCGAGATAAAAGCTTCTGTAAATATGGATTTATTCATGTGCATATATATATATAAAAATGTCCAAACTTTATGCCAGCACACACACACATGAACTGAAAACACTGCCACTCACAGCTTTTTCCGACCCCCTGAGCAGCCCATTTCTGATTCGGTTCCATCCCGTATTTAACCTCAGGGGGCACACCAGAGAGGAGGAGACATTCCCACATCCACACACACAAATGGAAACATTTACAGGCAGCAGCAAAACTCCACCGCTGTCATGTGATAGTTGAGCAAACTCCACAGAAATTCCACCCCTGCTTATTCACATGGGTCCGGAGCCAGTGGAGGCCTGCCCCCCCGCACAGCCTCTGGACCCACAAACACAACCACCACAACAGCCTCTCACAACTTCTCTTTTCAAGATCAGATGAAGCATTTTGAAAACAAATCAGCCAATCAAACTACTGCGAACCAGCAGAAATTCAGCAGGGATGCAAATCTAAATGGAGCTGGGTCTCACTTCTGCTTCCAGCAGGTGCAGGCGTGTGGCAGCACCTCCTCAGGCCCCGAGCCCCGGCCCCCCCTCCGGCAGGACCCACACCGACCCAGACACAGCACTTCATCAACAAAAGCATTCAAGTCCATTTGTACATGCACAAATACTATGTATCCATCTGGCCCATCCACTCCACTGCTTCCCTTCACCCCGAGTCTGACACCTGTCGGGCCACATGTCAACAATCTCTGCAGTATATGGTTTAGAGGGAAAAAACCCACATTCAGACAGGTGTTTGGAGGCAGGCGCTGACGTCTACAGAAGGAGAAGAAGAAGAGTGTAACTCGAGGTTTGGGTGTAGAGCTGAGAACACACATCAGCATCATCTTTCTTCAACAACAATGTTGAAAAAGTCTTTAGTTTTGATTGGCTGACAAATGTCAGAAGGACACCTGATATGGGTGTTTCAGGTGATCTGGACCTGACTGATGGGCAACAGGGTCAACAACTAAATCTAAACTCTGACCCACCTGCTTTCACAGGTACTGCATGTCAGGAAATATTCGTATTCCCTAGTGACGCTTTTCTGCAGGACAGTAACAGCAAATATTCACTAAATCAGTCGGATTTTTAAAAAAGCTGAAAACCTTGGATGGAACAAACCAAACTCAGGCTCTCCTGAAGCAAAGGGCTGACTTCTGGTGAACATGATTGCTTACGATAGCACTTTAAATGCACACTTGTGGGATATAAGCTAGTATGCAAGCTAGTAGTGTTTTGATCACGCTGTAACAAGTGTTCGTTTTCATAAAATTGATGAGATTTTAGTGTGAAAAAAAATGCTTATGCAAGTGGTGAAGCAGGACATGGTTTAACCCCATTCTGTTTTGGTGCTTCACCTCAATGTTTGACTGATGTGCAAACTAAAAAGCGCACGTTATTCTCTGCTTTTACATGGAGCAAGTCTCTGAGCTACTTGGAGTTATCAAGAAAATGAGCCTGGTCATATTTAATGCATGGTTTGCCTTTATGCCGTCTCATCTGCGTAAATAATGGACTGACACGCGTGCACGCCAGACTGGCAGCTAATACAGAGGTATTTATCCTGGGAGATAAACGCCCTCAGGATTACATTCAAACTCTCCTGAAGTGCTGCATGCATTTCCTGTGGGACCCCAGTAAGGTCCCAGTCCCAGACCCAGACCCAGTCCCAGTCCCAGTCCCAGTCCCAGTCCCAGACCCAGTCCCAGACCCAGTCCCAGTGCAGACCCAGTCCCAGTCCCAGTCCCAGTCCCAGTGCAGACCCAGTCCCAGTCCCAGTCCCGGTGCAGACCCAGTCCCAGTCCCAGTCCCAGTCCCAGTCCCGGAGCAGAGCCTGTCCACGCGTGCACGCCGCTCACAGCCCATAACACCAGACTGATGAGGTCCATATGACCCGTGTTAGGGCTCTACCGTGCTGGACAGGGCTCCCAGTGGCCAGAGCCGGCCTTTGGATCAGATTCATCAGTCCAGCTCATGCTAGGAGCTAACCCGCTAGTCATAGTGGTGCACAGCAACCAGCGTTAACTAGACCTAATCAATAAACGCAAAGCCGACAGGCCCCTTCCGCTAAGAACAGGCTTTGTTTACCACTTACTGCTTCATAACCAGCTCCTAAGTGCACTCAGTGCGTAGCGCCAAACGTTTAATGAGTCACTGACAGCCAGTGACACGTCGCCCTGATGATGCTAACTAGCTAATGTTGTGAGGGATGCGGAGGCCCGGCCTGCGGGGCTCCCAGCCCCAGCACCCGGGCCGCCGGCCGGGACCAACGCGTTTACCGTCATGTTGGGGCGCCGGGGGGGGTCCCGTGGCCTCCTCGGCCATGGTTTTCTGAGGAGGGCTTCAGGCAGTTAACAGCGCTGTAGGATGAGAGTTAGGAGTGCCCAAGAAAACAGGCTAACATCACAACTACCGTGAAGCTCCAGAGGAGCGACAGAGCTGCTTCCGGTTAGAGTTTCAAAATAAAATACTATTCTTCAGTGGCAAAGCCAGCTAAGGGTTTCATTGGAGTCAGGCGATTATGTTGGAACCTATTGTGGCTAATCTTTTGAAGACAATAAAATTATTTGGAGCTTAACTTTTTTTTGTGCCAGACATTCAAAATAAAAGCAGAAGTCAGGTTCTTTCCAAATCTAAATAAAAGTACCCTTGTTGACACGTGGACAAAGGTTACAGCTGGACAGACATAACAAAGCTCTTTCCTTTATAACATAGCATTTTCACAAACATTTAAATGTCAGAATTTCTGTGGTAAACGGTTGAAACAGAAGAGGAACTAAAAACAGAAAGAAAGAGAAAAGAAATAGATATGATAAACTGTAATGCCACTATCGCCTCACTTAGCATCAAATATATACAGAAACAGTTTGTCAGATGGCATCTTTTCTTAATACATATTTCTTATTTTCCATATGTATTTAGTTGCTCTGAGTCCTGTAACAAAAAAAAAAAAAGAACAATCAAGCAACACCCAGAGGCTGTCCTCAGTGGAGCGTGGCGGGGGGGTGGGGACAGTACAGTCTGGGCCTGGTCTTTTCAGTCAGTTAAGAAAATCAGAAGGTGTCATGCAAAATGTTTGCTACATAGTGACTGTTGCCATTTCCGACCACTCACTTTCTTTTCCATTCTCTGAGACCTACAGCCCGTTTAAACCCTCAGGTAAGGCTGCTTCTGCTTTTACTGTTAGTGAAATTGGAAAATTAAACCTTGGAGTGAACTGAGACTAAATTACAAAGAGAGAATAATTATTAGAGACTGGACCTTGCACTAAATGTTCCCCAGCTGCCAGGATGCTGCTGCAGATAAAGGATGCAGTTTTAAAGATAAAGGGAATAAACCGTGTTGATATGAGAAACATTTATGTTTTTGCTGGTGAAAACTGCCTCCTCTTCTTGTCAAGTGACTGGCAGCACAATTATCTGTAAGAGTCACATTTTGGTTTCTGGTTGTACAGAAGGCAGACTTCCTCCCCAGAAGATAGTCCCTGGAGGTTACCAGGAGACTTGTTTGGTTCTCAGAATCTTTATGCAATGCAAAAATAACTTTAAGACTTAGTCAACCGTCAAAAAGAGGAAGTGGCGAGTGCCCTTCTTTCCGATCCTCAGCCGTGTATACTGAAAAGCAGCATTTAAATGTGGCGCTGCTCTTTCTCCTGTCTCAAGACATTTTTTATGCTTTTTCATTTAAATCTGCCATCCAGCAGGGGTACCATGGTTCTTCTGCGCCAGTACCTCTGGGCCTTGGTGATCCTTGGGATGATTTTTGTGTCTGTGGTCATCAGCCTCATCTTCCTGCTGGTCAACAAATGCATATCTAGAAAAGTAAGCAGAATTTCACTTTGACACATCTGTCAGCAGCAAGTCCTACATTTTCTGACCTGACGCACATCTGGATCAGAGGAAACTGGAGAGTCTACAGAAGATTTGACTGTGTTCTCATTTTGAATAGAACAGAAAAACACTCCACTCAAAACTTTCATTAGAAACCCAATCTGGTAGCATGAGGAATATGAATCACTGTGTTAAAAAGGGCATGTTCTGAGCATTATAAATGCTGGCCTTAGTGTTTCTGATATCTAGGTTAGCGCCCATCACCTTTTTTTTAACAGAGTGCTGTAAAATATTTGAGCTGTAATCATTAGTGTTGTTTCACTCAATTTCACAACTGGAGCTTAAATGCTCACAAAGCCCGAACAGAAAACCCCGGAAATGTGCAGTGAGACACAAAGTGGCACTAAAGAGTGAAAAAAATTAGGAATTAGATTCTTTTTTTCAGCAGTAATGACTGGTTTTGGTTGGTCCTACAGAAACTTACAGACATAACTACAACCGTATGATCACAACAACGTCCTGAGATTCAGGGCTTTCTAAAGTGGAAATGCTGTCTTTTGGGGGTTTCTCCTCTTAGTTGAGCCTTAAACTTGTGCCTGTGGAAACTCCTGACTAATAAGAATGTGTGCGCCGGCTCTTCTACCCGAACACTTTTTGTCTTGTTCACTATTTCTTGTCTACATCACCTAGTGCCTAAATTGTGTAATGCTTGCCTATCGGTTCGTTGGTAGATCACAAACAAAAATGGGTTCTGTATTTTCGGCGGCCTGAGGTCAACTTCATGGCCAACGAAATATTAAAAACAAATAAAGAATGGGGGGTTGTGGTCAAAGCTGTGGCGGTTCAGTGATGTCACATCCTCTGAGACGTGGCTGTCAGCACACCATCACCTCGACAGAAATATTACTTTACGTGAGCTTTTATGAGCTGAGCTGGAGCACATTTGCAAATCGTTTTTCTTGGTTCTGTCCTGGCAGAGAGAGAGAGGAAAGAATTCCTTAAAGCAGGTTACTGAAACTGTCAATATGTTAGCGGGACACTTTTAGCTTTATGTCATTAAACACAGGTTTCAGCCTTACAGTATTAGACAGCACTGTCCTGATACACTGAAAAGGATGCATTTGTAAAACAGATACGTTTAAATCTGAAACACAATTTTAAAAAAGGACCTGAGAAAATCCACAAAAAACTGACACAGAAAGTTCAAGAGGTGTGAAGCAATCAGCAAAGCAAAACCAAGAATATGAAGCAAAAAGGGGAATAAAAGGAAAGAGAGAAATGCACTCTGAAAAATCTCAAAATGAAACAAGAAGTCAAACAAAATAAAGCACAGATGATAGTGATAATAGAAATGAAAGACATTCTAAATATAACAAATAAATAAAAAAGAATGGAGCCCAAACCCACAGAGCATGAAGTAGTGGATATTATTCAGCTCTTTCCTGGAGGTCCCTCCTCCTGACGTTGAGGACTAAAGCGTGTGTGAGGATAAATGCCCAGGCTGAGCGGATGAGTGACACTAAGCAGCGTTTTTCTGCACTTCTCATCTCTCACAGGAATAAACCCAGCACATGACAGCTTTTAGTTTCTTACTGTCTTCCTCCTTAAATGCAGTTCAGATTTGAAGCCTTTTGCTAGTGAGCCAAAAACAACAGAGCTACATTTCAGCGACTTAATTAAAAAACAAGCTACTTGTTTATCATCTAAAGTTCAACCAGGCTAAAGGTCAGCTTAACTAGGATGGGACTAGTGGACACAAATGGGTTTCCTGTTTTAGTAACTTCCCGCTGTACCACTCATAAAGGCGGCCTCACACACGGTCACAGTGAGTAAGAGCATCTGAAGCCGTCCAGGCAAACTAAAGAGGAGCTTTTAGGACGGTGGGAACCGCTACCACAGATTGGCTTTGTTAAACTTTAGTGATCCCTGCTGGACACTGGACTGAAGCAGAACAGGGGAGGACTTTGGACTGGTTTACAGTATAAACCAACAAAAATGACAAAATATAAAAAACACAAATACTAATCATTGATTATTATCGTAGTTCAACTAAACTACACCAAATAAATCAACTAAAAAGATGGTATTGTTTATGGTATTGTATTGTTTGTTTGCTCTACTTTGTACATCATAGAGTTTCTAAAAAAAAACGAGTTTGATTCATTTTTTTCTGTAGCTGAAGTTAACATCATGTCCTTTCTGGTCTTTTTTTTATAGAGAAAAAAAGGGTCTTTCATCTCCAGGGAAGATCTGACATCAAAGTCGAGTAATGTATTTCTATATTCCACATGTTCCTTGTATTTAGACTTGAGTGGACTTTTGCCTCACAAACGGCTGCGGGAACAGTTCTGTATTCAGACAGATGAACTAATTTCCCTCAGCAGGAGCTCTGGGAACAGAAACTGAAGTGTTTATTCTGTCAACAGAATAAAAACGCCTGTTTTTCTGCATTTAGTCAGAAATGCGTTCATGCTCCACCAGAGGCCGTTAGGGTGACGGCTGGATTAGTCAAAGTCAAGTTGACCGGACTGAGATAAAACTTCAGTGTGTTCAGTTACCACTGAAGAACCAATAAAGAAACACAAATGTCTGAGTCACTCATAGTTACATTTGACCTTTAAGAGAAATACAGTGAGATGACAACGTGTTATTTAACGAGTTTGACCATTTCTGTGTGAGATTTAAAGAGGAGTCTGTAGTAGAATCAGTTTTATATGACGGTTATTTATTTTGGGAAATATTTCCAGTCGTGCAAATATCCGATAAGATTAGCAGATTTTTGTCTTTTTTATAGAGCGTTTAGGCAGTAATTCACACAGACTGATGGTCAGGAATGTTAACATAAATAATATAATGTAGCTGAAAGTAAACTATCTCTCTCAAGTTGCTGTTCCGACACACACACACGCATCGCACAATTTCAGTAACTTTCCTGCTGAATTAAACTTACACTGTTGTCATTAATTCTAATTCATTTTGCAAATTTTCAGGAGCAACAAATACCATGAGAGGAACCTTGACTCTGAAGTTCCTCCTCTTCCTCCTCGGACACAATTTCTCACAGAAGGCAAGACACCAAACGACTTATTACAGAGATCACATTATGATAAAAACCCATGAAAATCAGTTTGTAACTCACCAGCTCGATGGAAACAAGGTGGTAAACTGTGTGTAAACTAACAATGAGCAGGTCATGACAGAGACGAAACAGATGAAGGCAGCATGTGTCCAGCATCAGAGGGTCCAGCAACCCGTCCAACTGCAGGCCTCATGTTCTGAACCCTCAGAGATCTCTGAACCATCTGAAGATAAACTGTGTTGTTTCAGGGGCCCAGAGCTACGAGAACCTGTCTGATGAGCACGACTACGAGGAGTGTGCCGACCAGAAGCCGGACTCTGTGAAGCTGGAGGCTGAGACACAGATCCTCCGCCCCCCCCCACCAGGCACTGATCCGGATCAGGACCCCAAAATGAAATCTGGTCTTTCTGTGGCCCAGAGCTACGAAAACCTGGCTGAGGAGCAGGACTACGAGGAGAGCACAGAGCAGCTGCCGGACTACGTGAAGCTGGAGGAGGAGGTCCAGCTTCTGGGTCCTGCTCCCCTCTACTCTGATCCTCATCCACACAGGAGTTCTGGTCTTTGTGGGGCCCAGAGCTACCAAAACCTGGCTGAGGAACAGGACTACGAGGAGAGCACAGACCAGCAGCCGGACTACGTGATGCCAGAGGGGGGGGGCAGAGCTCCTCCCTCCTCCCCCAGCAGGCACTGATCCAGATCAGGATCAGGATCCAAACAGGAGTTCTGGTCTTTGTGGGGCCCAGAGCTACGAAAACCTGGCTGAAGAACAGGACTACGAGGAGAGCACAGACCAGCAGCCGGACTACGTGATGCCAGAGGGGGGGGCAGAGGTCCTCCCCCCCCCCCCAGCAGACCCTGAGGCTGACTGCAGCTCCTCTGAGGACTACGATGACATTGGAGGAGGAGAGGAGGAGGAGGAGGAGGAGGAGGAGGACTATGATGATATAGCATGAGAACACAGAAACAGGACACCAGTACCCTCTGAGGTTCCCGGAGAGGAGGCCTTTACTGACCGGCAGGAGGCTCTGGACATTTCCCCCCCCCCCCCGCCTCCAGGCATAAGGCTGGGAGTGCACATGTGAGTGCACGGAGAAGACGGCTTTGCTTGTTAACAGTTTAACAACAAATGACTGTATATACTGTACATACATAACAGCACGCATCAAATAAATGCCCAGGTCCTATCAGGGCTATTTCTTTTACAGATGTAGGTTTGTATCTCCCTTAAATGAACAAATGAAGACAGAATCAGAATCAGAATCAGAATCAGGTTTATTGCCAAGTAGGTTTTCAGACTTACAAGGAATTTGCCTTGGTGTTTAGTGCACAACACAACACTTCTATGAGAAGCAAGAATAAAAAGTAGAAATAAAGATATAGGGCAGAATGATAAAACTGAAAAATACAATCTTTAAAAGTATAAATCTGAATGTACAAATTATGTACAGTATGTACAGTGTACAGTACAGTATGTACAGTACAGTGTACAGTACAGTATGTAATACATATGTACAGTATGTAATATAATGAAAGAAATGATGAAAGAAAATGTGGAACAATCTCATTCCTTATTATTATTTAGTGCAAAAATCTAGGTAAATGTTATCACTGCAGCTTCTAATTTATTAAATATTGTCATTATCTTTCTGATTGACTTAATTATGAGTAAATAATTCACTTAATTAACAGTTAGTCTGCATGTGTTGTGTTTTCTCAGAGAATGAAACGTTGCACTACTGACCTTAAACTCTTTATGTTCTATTCCACCTTCCAGCTTTGTCCAGCTGTACTGCTGGACACGAGTCTTTGAAGCACATTACTCTTTTAGAAATCTGCAGTCCAACATGGTTCCATCAGATAACATGCCTGAATGAGCAGGTTCTGACTCCGATCGAATAGCACTTCTGCTGTAAAGTGGAATTAGTAAAATCATATTCTTTAGCGTGGAAAATCTAAAGGTGCATGGTCTGACACCATTTCTTGTTTCAGTACCATTCTGGCTTGTGTATACTACACTTTAGAGCACACATACGGTGGTCATCTTAAACTTTTTCAAACTGAAAGCTGCTTCTCCGTGTACGTAAGCTCTGCTCACACCTTCATGTTTCACTTTTGTACCCAATGAACTCGCAGGAGTGTTTGTACTATCTCCATGTGTTGAACATTTTTTCTGATAGTTTTATGGAATAAAAATTCTTCCACTGAATTTTCAGCTCTTTTTTTGTCTTTAGATGAACTCCTACTTTTAAAGCTGCAATACAACAGAAAATATTTAAGTAGAAATAAACTTTAGATATGGAACCTGCTCATCTTGTTTATTTTCAAATGATGATTTTCTTTGTGATTTCAGTCATTGGGCAGAGGAACTGTTTTATTATCCACTAGAGCCGGTAACTAGTGCGTGAAACGTTCACATGGCTTTAAATGCCACCGGCAGAAAGTCCCTGAAGATGAGGACTGGTGGGGATCTCCTGGCTTTGGGTCTGAGGGAGCTGTATTCTGGCATCACATCCGGAGCAGACTTCATTTTGTTTAAGACTTCAGCCAGTGACACTTAAACTAGAGGAGAGAGAGACAGACAGAAAGAGACTCTTCCCCTCTCTCTCTCTCTCTCTCTCTCTCTCTCTCTCTCTAACCCTAACCCTAACCCTAACCCTCTCTCAAATCTCTTCATTTCTGTTATTCATAACTTTGTAAATGGTTCAACTTAAATGTAGTGGCTTTAACAAATGAAGTTGCATAAAACAAAAGGGCTCAGTTTGACATTAGGGCCCAAAACGGGGCCCCTGGGGGCCCCAGCCTCTTTACAGGCTCTTGATGGCCACACCATATCCAAGCTTGAGACTGCACACAAGGTGAAAAGCTCCAAGAAAGCTTTATGGATGGAAACAGACACCGACTGAAAGACAATATTCTGGTGACCTCCAGACACTTAGCTTTCCTTCTCAACGATCAGATGATGCCCATCGTTTGGCAGAAATTCAGCACGCCTCCAAAAATGTGTTCAAATTGTTGCTGAATTAGTTTGATCAAAATCACATTTGACTTATTATCTTTGCACCAAGATCTTTTAGCCAGTTTTATTCAGGGTCCCAAAATATCTCTGGTGAGCATCAGGAAATCCCACATGTGACACATGGTCTTCATTCAGTTCTGTGCATGACAAAGACATCATCAGACCACCACATCTCATTTATACTTTCTTTATACTTCTCAATAATTAAAACTCATTTTCTGTTCTATAGAGTGCATGAACGTCCTGTCAGAATGACTGTGGTTTTGACAGGAATGACTGGCGTGTTACATAACGGATTCATGATGACTTTAATGCTGAAAAATTTTAGATGTAAGTTTTTGGCACCACACGTTCAGTTGATGCAAAGACAGATTCCTTAGAACAAACTTAAATCAGTTTAACCAGCGTAATATTAGATAGGATTTACATTTTAGCATTTGTGAAAGCTTGCGAATAGACATACGTACAAATATAGTTTTATTTATAATTTTGTGTTTTTACACAGCAGGGTTTAGGGCCCCGTCTTTGTTTCACACAGCACTTTTTAAGAGAGAAGTGGCCTGATGGGCCCCGGTGTGGACACCAGATCACCTTAATGATGACCACACTCAGTCACATAAACCATTTTATATTTCTGAAATAAACTCATGTTGAATCTAGAGTCACTGTATGACAAATGCAGCCAGGACAGAGGTTCCAGTCTCTGAGCTTATGGAGAATAAGGTATGCGTGGTGCATGTCTCTTCATTATTGTCTATTAAGACTAACCCGCAGCAAGCCTGGGGCAATCTATAGCTCCATTATCCTGCTGCTATGCATGATGCATGGTGACAGAGGGAAGGAGTGGCTGGGAGGAGGGGGGGGCTGCCACAGAGGCTCTGTGTCATGGCCTGCTCTTCCCACACAACGTAGCTTCTACCCATGGCAATAAAAACAATAACCACCAAAGTATTTTGGTTAAATGGGACTGCACTGCTTAGGTAGGACCACATTCTGAGATGAGTCACCTCTGCAGAGACCCCCCCCCCCCCCCTGAGTTAGTCAGTGCTATAAAGAGAGGCATGTGAAGCCATGCTTAGAGTGGGCTGCCTCAGGAACACATAGTTACATTTAATATCACACCACAGCAGGGGACACAATGCTCCAACACATTAAAAACACAATACTATAGCTCTTATTTGCTTCTGATGACGTATTTGTTACGTTTTTTTAATCATGTTTTACTTTGTTCGTCTCTTGTTATTGAAGCTTTCCTATCTTTTTGTGTGGGGTGATACTAAAGTGTTGGCCGTTTTTCAGACTGACTGCTCTAAAGTGGTTTTTAAACCGGCCTTACTGAACCCCCGCGTTGCTGCCGCGGTCAGATGAAAAGTCTGAACAGAAGGCTTTTGTTTTGAAAGTACGGACAGGAAGTGTGACGTCTGCCAGCTTGACTCCGCGCGCGCACAGCTCGCAGCGCATTCCAGCGTGAGGGAGATGTGGCCGCGGTGCTTCCTCCGCGCTCCCGCCGTGGCTCCGCTCGCCTTCTGAGGGGAAAATGTCCAGGCTGAAGGAGGCCGGCGGCTGTCCGGACGGGTACCGGGCTCTGAGCGCGAGCGAGCTGCGCGAGCTCCTTCAGAGCGACGACAAAATGGACCAAATCATTCGACTCAATGACAAGGTAGGTGTCCCCAAGACACAAAGTAGCGCGAGGACCAGTCACCCGACGGACCCAGCATGAGGAGCGTGCGCTGGGAGCGTGAGCCCGCGTGCGCCGGACCGGGTGTGGGTGCTGCGTTCAGGACCAGCCCGCGCTCAGGACGGTGGTCGGCTGTCTGCGTGGCGCGCGCTGGCTCTCCCACTGGTGCGTGGAGCCCCGGCCCCAGGAACACGGTGTGTGTGTGGTGTGTGTCTGTGTGTGTGTTGTGTGTGCGTGTGCGGTGTGGTGTGTGTGTGTGCGTGTGTGTTTGTGGTGTGTGTGGGGGTGGGGGCTGCACAGGTGAGGGTGGCCCGCAGGAGGGGGCTCCAGAGGGGGGTTCCTGTAGATGGAGGCTGGTTCCGGCAGCAGGGCGGAGGGGACTGGGGAGAAACCTCTGCTCTGTGGCCTCTAAAGTCGGCTCTACGTGTTTTAAAACTTTTCAATACCCATGAAGCTCTGTCCTCGTGGTTTCTTTTGGTGAGTAGAAGTCCAAATCCAGCGGCTAGCTTCGGACCTTTAAAGGAGTGACCTGAGTGACGTCCGGCTGTGTTACACTGGGAACACAGACCCACACCGGCAGCCCCTGTCATTCAGGAGCCCCCCCCTCCTCTGGAGGCCTGGGTTAGGGCTCCCAGCCTGAGCCCGGTCCACACAGAACACGTGTGTGTCTGTGGAGCTCCCTTTAGCTCCAGCTGCTCTACAGCCAGCAGGAGTAGAACCCTTTTTCAGCACTGAGGTGGAGGATAACCCTGTTCCGGGAGGTGGAACCCAGCCTACCAGAGGTTCCACACGCCTCCACCCGTCCCACACTAAGGTTACCAGAAACCCCTCGTTTGCACTGAATGGTTAGCAGCACTTTGACAGAGCCTTCCAGTGGTTCAGGCTCAGTCTGGTGATGTGGTGAGGGAACCAGGAGAAGGAGCGGACCTTTGTGCCCTGCTGCTGTGAAGCCATGAGGATCTGAATCACAGGACCAGGGCTCTGCAGCAGGATGAGTCAGGGGGGGGTTTAGGGAGTGTTAATCCAGGCTTCCACTTACTTGTCATCATCTAATGATGCAGAACTTGTGTAGATTTGAGCAGCCATGCACACGCATGCCGCATTAGTCCACGTGCACACCTCCAGATTTGAATGATTTGAGGTCATGGATATCTCTGGAACAGAAGATTCCACAGTCCTTTCTGTAATCTCCATGCAGTGTACCAGACCTGTAGACTTTCTTATGTTAGGCACAAATGTTGACTGCTGCTTGTTTAGTTCTTGTTCACAGCCTTGTTTTTTCTGATTTTCTTTTTAGGAGCTACAGTTGACACCACACCATTTTTTATTATTTAAAGCGTATAGTAAATATTTGAACATGAACTTATTTAGCTGCCCGCTGGCCTCCCCTCTCTGGCCTTTGATGGCTGCCACACAGGATGTTGTTCATTAGCTCTTTGTCCTCCTGACTCATGGCGTGACTTTGCCGCTGATGGATGTTAGTTTGGAGCCTGGCATCCTCTGACCTCAATAAAGTCCCACAGCTGACATGCTTGCGTGCTAACATGTGGCTGTCCATGCCATTGTGTGAATGCTGTGTTTATTTGACCAGAATGGACAAAACAGGACTTCCTGACTCTGACCTGCAGGTCAAAGCCAGTCAAGCTGAAAATCAATGGATATCAGCCACCTCCGGAGTGGTGCATCGCCCTGTTTAATGTATCTACAACACGCCATGTGTGACAGCATCCAGATTCTGGGCCAGGATTGGTTTTAATTTACTGGGGAAGTTTGCAAAGCATGGAGGCAGACTGAACCATTTCTTTGGGTTCATCACCACATCACAAATGCTCATTTTTACCAGTATTCTGGTTTATATCATGATGTCCTTGCTCCTTTTCAGGGTCAGCCCATGTTCCCTACATGCAGATGGAGCCTGTGTAGGTAGTCTGATGATTTGCTTTTACGGAGACATTCAGAGAAAAGCCAAAGTGCTCCACTTTGACTCTAATGGCAGAACATCAGAGTTTGAGCCAAAGTGCTGTGGTGATGGATTTAAACTGCAGTTTAAGGGGATCATTTAGACCAGTGGTCTGACACTGTGTCGTCTCCAGTGCAGCCCTCCTGACTCTGAGCGGTCATTTGTCAGTGGTGGTACACACTGTCACCCCCCTTTCCAACTCATGCATCAAAACTCCGACGGCAGCTGCTGTCAGATAAGCGGGCAGGAAGTGCTGTCCAGTCTGATTCCGGCTGAAGGAAACCGGAGCATCAACAGGGCTGGGAGCAGACAGCAGGTCCATCCTGCCGGGCTCCCATACACACTCGTATGGCCAAAGGGAAGATTCTACAAATTCTTGAGAACCTGGGACCGGCACGTCCTTTTGATGGCCCGTCACACGTGAGACAGATGCCCCGGTCAGTGCAGAGCCCAGTGGGCTGGGCCCCGGCTCTGAAGAGATGGACTCCTGAAAGAAAGTATCTGCCTGGACAAAGAGAGGACGGCTCTCTTTTTTTATCCCCATGCACGCACACAGGGTGGTTGTGTCTGTGGCAGAGCCCAGCGGTTCAGCCTGACTATTGTTGGAGAGGCTGAAGGGAGTGGCATTCATTTTAATAATTCATGCTAGTTACGGTCTAGTGACAATGGCCAGTCCCCACCCCTCCCCCTCAGCTGTAAAATGATCCCTTCTCCACGCTATGACAGACTTTTGTTCTCCACTACCTACTCACATGGTAAACTGAATGTTTCTGGTCTAATAAGATATTTCATTGATCTGAGACCAGTTTGATGATGTATTTGTCTGGTCTCTTAAACGTCATGTCTTCATGTTTTAAAAAGAAAAATTTAAATAAGAGTCCAAAAAGCTGTAAAAGCGTATCTCTGGCAGGGTGATTCAGTATTGTGCATAAGCCCCTCCCCTCCCTGGGAGGCTCAGCGTTCCGTCTGAAGGCTGCCGGCCGGCCTGCTGCAGTGTGGTCAGCTCTGCGTCCTGTCAGTGTGGTTCCGGCCAGCCTAACACACTTCACACACTGAAGAGGGGACTGGATGTCAGTAACAGACTGTAAATTAGGGGGGCAGGGTTGATGCTTGGCCGGGGTGCCCCCTCCTGTCATGTCTGTGTTATCTACATGCGATGTCCCTCTGCCTGCCTCACATCACACAGCAAACACTGGCCATGATTCCCTGCTTCAGAGCGGCACAGCAGCATCCGCCCGGGCTCTGTGAGCCCCCCGGCTCTGTGGGTGCAACAGGCTCAGGGCCGGCAGTGGGCTGGGTGGGGCATGGGTGGAGAATGGAAGTATCAGCCACTTCCTTCCTTCAGCTGCTCCAGTTCTGGGTCCCCTCAGCAGGGCACTGGACATTCAGCAGACTCTGGTGTGGGTACTTGCAGGTAATTGCAGATTAGGTGGTCTTTCTTCAACACCGATTGAAGCCGACAGCTCCCGGTGGTCCGTGAGCACACAGAAAGCTCCCTTCAAGGCAGCTTTTATCTCCCAGTTCCTGCCCTTTTTCAGCTGCCTGGCCCCCGGGGGCTTCTGTCTCTGGGCTGTGGAGCCAGAGGCAAAGGACCACTGAGGTGCTCAGCAGTTTCCTGTGACTCTCGTCTACCCAGACTCTGCGCTGTCACAGGATAAGGTGTTTCAGTCAGATATGTGAGCTGGGGGGGCATGGACACAGCCCCCGGGTGCCCCGCGCTAGCAGCTGCACAGCAGCGCTGCGGCTCCTCTGTGAACGGTCATCACACCTCTTCAGACTGCTCATATCCGCCTGCTCTGGCAGTTCGTAGGGTACTCAGAAGAGAGGAAGAAGCAGGGTTTCATCTGTGTTTGTAGGAAAGTGTGGGCGATGGGTTGATGGGTGTGTTATGGTCTGAGCATCCCTCAGTCCAACACCGTTTTGGCATATCTCTCCCTAATGCATGGCTGACCGTTGTCCTGCGTGTATCTACAGGGGAGAGCAGCCACCACTTTAACTCTGTATTTTTTCTTTTGTTCAGTTTCAGGATCTTCAACTGGACCGAGAGACGCTGCTGACCACCAACCGGAGCTTAGCCGAAGAGAGCCTGGCCCGACAACCCCGCCTTAATAACGGCAAACTCCAGTTGGCAGAGAAATACAGGGAACTGTCCAACCTGGTGACCACATGCTGGGAAAAACAGAGTCAGCTGGGTGAGTTTATCCCACCACAGAGGAGACAGAGAGACGGGAGGGGGGGGGGGGGCTCTTCGTCTTTTGTATGGTTGAGATGCCAGTGGATGATCACGTCCAAGTGGAGATGAGTGGTTGTGAGTCTGGTGCAGATTCCAAAGCTCATCCGGTCACCGCAGTCTTTCTTCAGGGAACTTCATTTCTCTGCTCTTAGGACCTCTTTCAGGATGGACTTAACAGCCCGCTGTTGCTAGTATTCCTGTCCACGCACACAGATTGTCAGAGATCTCTGATGGCCCTTTTCCACTAGCCCCTCCTCAGCCCTGCACGCCTGCACACAGCCCAGAAAGGAGCCCTTTGGCATAGGTTCATGGAGTATCTTCATGTTGATGATCAGAGAAATAATCAAATGGAACATTTATTGTTGCAGTGTTTTTCTAATTGGCCTAGATCACGTGAAGGACTTTCTATGGAATCATGTGACTCCCTGGCCAATCAGTGTCTGGCTCAGCCCTGATGGATCCCCAATCAGCTGGTCAGTGGGGCCAGCCCCAGCTGGAAATCATGTAGAGCGAGGCTGCGCGAGTAGGGCCCAGAGGAAAAACACCAGAAATGTTCAAGCAAATGAAGAATTCACCCCAAATCCAAAAAGGTTGCGGCCCAACCACTTAAGGTTAAAACTGATTACACATGATATCCCACAGTGGCTCCTGGTTGTCCTTTCTTGTAATTGCAGAAACTCACTCACATGCACACATACCAATTACTGCACAGTGTGAGACATAGAAAGCAAAACTATATTTGGATCCTGTTGGACGCTCTGACACTTGGATCAGAGAATGTGGGACGTTTCACTTCAGAGCAGCGAAGAGTTTCCGAGTGTCAGTGAGACAAGCCCTCCAGTTCTCAGCGTGAGAGAAGTCTGGTCATGGGAACCAAATGAGGCGTATGAAATGCCAGCAGGAAGCTGCAACAGTTGTCAGGGAGTTGTGGGGATGAAGGGGGCTTGCCTTTGTTTGGGAAAGTCTTGCCGGTGCCGGGGCGGCCTACTGGGCAGATGATGGCTGCTAAGCCTCGGGACTAAATCTGAAGCTTTAAAAATTCCTGATAATAAAGACAACTCGAGAACAGGTCATAAAGGAGCTTCTGCTGCCCTCGTTTCTAAAGCCATGACAACCGCTTCTGATTTTAGAGTGCAGGAACAAACTCTGGACGGGCTCGGTCATCCGTGGGCTGTAATGAAAAGCCTTTGTCAGAGTCCGGCTTCAGCTGCTGGCCAGTGATGGAAGTTGTGTGGAATGTTAAACTTCCTGTCAATTTGCAGGGAGGACACAGATGCTATCCCACCTCCCCAGCGAAGCAGGATGGGCGGGGGGTCTTTTCTTCCGCTGCAAAACATCTGATTCTCATTTGGTGCGAGGAAAGGGGAAAAGATGAAGGAGAGGGATTTCTGACTAAGGCAGCAGAGACAAACTGTGCAGGGCATTGGGGCAGAGGGCTGAGTTGGATTACACGTCCCGGTGTTTGGTGGGGGGGGGTTAGGGCTCAGAAAAGCTGGCTGGGGGAGTGGTGGTTCCGGTCCCCAGGCGCAGGTGAAACCTTGGGCAGTTTCTCACAAACTCTGTAGGCATGTGTCTCACTCTGTGTTGTCGTCACTTTTGGCTTCAGAGGAAAGCCGATCCCCTCCCAGACACATGCAGACACAGGTGAATGTCTGGTTTTTTAAGCAACGCCAGCGCCTTCTTTGATGTGACTTTTTTCCACATGTTTGGAAGGAATTTTAACAGCTGCCACTGTTGATAAGAGCAGAGCCACATTTTTGTTCCTCCACTGGTTTCATCAACGCTTTGGCGGATGCAAAGATCCAGTGACTTAGCACATGGAATGTTCTCAATGAATCCCACATGGGCTCATGCTATTGGCACTATCACAACTATCCTTCTTTAACCTTATCGAGGACCTGGAGTTGAGCATAAACTACTTGGCGTTTGCACAAATATTTTGCAACATGTTAATAAAGAATATCCCTGAAATGTTAACGGTGCTGATACTTATGCTGATACACGTCTTTGTTGCTATTCAGGAGATAACTCATGCCCCTTATTTGGTGACAGCATCACATAAATCTGAATCCCCCTGCTGCTTAGGAGGAAAATAAGCTTTGTTCCTACCTTCTCTGAGGCCTGTCTCCTGTATTTTATGTGCTCAGGTCTTGACACCAGCACATCACTCCAGTTATTTTTGGCACAGCTACAGTCCCGTTTTAAACCACTTTCCTATATGCTGTTACTAAATATGTGCTAAGGAACCAGTCTGTCCAAAGCAATCTGCATGTGGTAAAATAGGACATGTGGAAATGTTGGCAGAGCAGCTGCTTATGAAGCGTCAGGTTTGCAGTTGTTTGGATCTCTGGCTGTACATGTGGGACATCCTGCTGGGTTTGGAAGGGAAAGCTATGACCTCAGCAGCAGCTGTATAGTCACAGCCTATCAGTGCTTGGAAAACCCAGCTGGCCCTAGCATTTGAACTTGAACATGCAGGCTGAGCACAGTCCACTGGCCACGCCCAACACCTGGCCAGATGTGCAGGGCAGAAGTGGAGAGCAGGGACCCCCCCGATGGCTGAACATACGTCTGTGACCTCACTGGCTGCCCTCTGGTCCCTAAACCTAAATGCCTCAGGTTAAAGGGGATGCCTTCCTGACATTCTCCAGGCATCAGTCATTCGTCAGGACTCTGATAATCATGGCTTCCTTTGTCTGTTTTTGTGCCTGCTCTGCATCCCGGGTGTCTGGGGGCTGTGACACAAGCCATGGGGCTGCCCGGGGCTGCTAATCCATGTTTTAAGACCAGACAGATCAGAGTGGTGACACTACACATTTTTGGTGCTGACTGCATGCTACTATGTTTCCCCCCCTCTTTACACTTCAGAACAAGGCAGGTTAGCTTTTGACAGAAAATATGTTTGCTATACAGCAGAACCTCTACAGGGTTTAACTGGTTCCAGGAGCGACTGTGTTAAAATATTGGTGTGTTGGTTCAAATCTCCCATCAGAATACACTGTAATTCTTAGAATTTGTTCCAAAAACCTACGATACTGTACTGCAGATAATCACACATAGCAAGAAAACAAATGACTTATAGAAGAGAGATGGAAAAATAAATAAAAGATAAAGAAATTATCAATAAAAAGGGTTTTTATTGGCACTTACTGGCAATTGGAGGTGTAGACTTAGCGATGGAGGAGACGGATGGTGTGGAGGTAGAGGTGGAGACTGAGAGACCCGACGTACCCCAACTTACTCTGACTTTCACAACGTGAACTTTAAACTAACTTGGCTTATTTATTTTTATTTCCTTTTTTTTTTTTTCAATTCGGGTGTCGAGTCGAATATTTGATCAAATGTAACTTTGGATGTTGGAAAATTTGTATGTTTAGGCATCAGAAGTAGAGGTTCCGGTGTATTTCCTGTTGTGGAATTTCTTTAAATGAGCCTGATCATCAATTTTGCATTATAAGACTTAATCTGAGCTCATGACTCTGTGACAGCAGGACGTTTTTCTCTGCCTCTGTGCCCGTGAGGGGATCAAACCTTCAGAGCCAACAAGTCGGATGTGGTTGGAGACCTGCTCTAACCTCTGCTTTTGCATTCCTGCTAAAAGCAGGCTCTGCAGAGGCTCTAGACTCGGGGCAGATTATACAAACCATTGCAAGAAAGTTTCCCTTTACCCAATGACTCTAGGCTAGGAAATCCAGCATCAGTTAGGGAGCAGGCAAAGCCTGTCCCTGGCCCGGGGTGCGTGTCCAAAGGGGCATGTCTGGGGGCTGGATGCTCCTACCACTTGGCAGGGATATGAAATATGATTGATAGAAACGTTCCTTTCTGAGACAGAATGCCATTGCAGGCTGCGCTAGATTGGAAAGGCTCTTCATTTGTGGTTTATGGGGTCTGGATTTCAAATGTGGCTGCAGGCTCGGAAAACTTCTCATATAAAACGTTCATATTTTGTTTCAGAGCCGATTTGATGCAAGAAAGGAGTTGTGTAACTGACAGGAGTTGGTTCAGAAATCTCCTCTGGAGTTTCCACTGGTAGCGAGGTTACCCTGGGCCCTCGGCTCTGGCAGCACAGGGGCTGAGAGCCTCTGTCAGAGGCCAGAAACCGCCTAACCCGTGGATGCAACAACCATCTGTAGGTGTCTGAAACAAACAACTGGCTAAGGGATTTTCTTCCTTGAATCTCAGGGTTGGGTCAGAAAGGGCTCAGCTATCTGCTGTGTGGGCGTATTGATGGTGGATGGAGAGCCGGCCTGTGAGCGTGCTGCTGTCTGAGAGGCCTTCAGTCAGAAACGGCTTACACTGGAACCCTGTCTGGATGTCTGTTAACACATCTTCTGTCACCTTTCCTCCTGTCAGTTTGGGCTGTAATGTAGTAGTTTTTGCTTCCAGAGTTCAGCTTACAGCTTTCAGATGCGTTTTTGGTTTCAGTTTTTAACAAACATCATGAGCCCCTGGCTGGCTGCCTGCATTTAGATCCTCATCTCTCCTCCTCCACCCAATCCTGATGACTTATTGTTTGTGTGTCTAACGCCTCAGATGTCCAAACTCTATCAGCCTTATTTATGTTAAACCTCACACATAAAGAGCCCAAAATGTTCTTCTTTTCTTGGATTCTGGAAAAAGTCCCCTATGTACAGTAGACTGAATTAAAAAGCCATGTGGGTTCTCAGAATAGAAGGCTGACCATGGCTTTAACTTGCTGGGGAAAGATTATCAACCCACTGAAAGACAAAAAGATGAAGTCTAACTGATTTCATGTCATTATTTGTTGGAAATGTTTGGAGGGCGTGGGGTGAGTCAGGATTTGTGTTGCTGTCCGCTGGCAGCCCTCTACAGGAGGCAGTAAAGCCATTCTCTTCTGACTTGCTTGCTGATTTGTAAGCCTCAGATACAAAGTGCAAGGCTCCCTTTGTAACAGCGTGACCTATTTGTGTGTAAAAAGCAGATGAAGGCCAACACTG